TAAAATATCCAGTGTCGCTATTCCATAGGTGCAGGCATCACAATTCAATAATAATAATAATAATGGAATTTATCGGGAAAATAAACAAAAACACCCCGAGGGTACATACAGCAAGCGAGTGCATACATACAATTTGTATTACATTATACGAAGAGAAAATACACTAATCCCCCTACCTATACCTAACTACTTATTCGTTTTTGGAAAATAAAAGTTCCCGTCACATTATTTGTTTGAATTTAATTATTTCATTAGAAGGACGCGCTGTTTGTATTTGGGCATGTTTTTACCTCTGATAACAATCGGTATAGCGTCCTCTTAATATTAACATGTATTATTTATCACGGTTTTATGTAGGTATAAATAATTATTTTTTAGATAAACTGAAAAAAGTGGCATACATCTCGAGGACGGGGTTGAAGCACTTAATGCGGAGTTATGTCTCAAGAGTTCCAGTTCGTCCCACACGCACCTACTATCGCTGCACATATATAGGTAACTGGTCTACTTGGTGCACATATTATATATCCGTCGCTTCGGTTGTCGAGTCTAAGTCATGACTTTTATTGTTATAATTATAGTGTAGCGTGTAGAGGTAATAGGTACATACATATTAGTTGCCTCAGTATCGTTATTGACTTTATTTTTTGAGTAATAATACTGCTCGTTATAAAATCGATATTTATCAATCCTAATTTTAAATACCTCTGTAACTATAATAATATATTATATACGATTTTTTTATTCAAACATAAAACGATGACTCAACTATTGTTTTTAACTATCAGCCTGTATCGAGAATATCGGTAATTCCAAAAATGTTTTCAAAACTCATCTCTGGTAAAATTAATAACTAACCTAAACGATCAACAAACTGTAATAATTTAGCAATCACTTTTTTTTTTTTTTTTTATTATAATATAAGATGTTCCTAGCCATGGCTATCTACATCTATTGATATTAATTATAAGTTGCGTTTTAACATTTTGAATATGATAAGTTAATTAAGTAATTATAATAAAAATGATAATAATAATAATACTTAATAATAATAATAATATTAACAATAATAATAGCAATATAAAGGTATAACAGATAATAAATGGCAAGTTGTATAACTTAAGTTGACGCTACGAGTAGCAACAGCTGCTGTATATGGAGCTGTTTAAACCAGAAGGTCATGTGGACGTCCACGTTTTAGTCTGCGTTGAGGCGGATGTACATGGAGCTGATAATGAAGTGAGCCAGGAGAGCTGAGCAGTGCGGTATGGAAGTTTTTTGATGAGGTTTTAATGAAGTCTGTGATTTCCTGGATCTGAAGGTCTTTGTGTAGGTTTACGTTCCTTATAAACCAAGGCGCGTTGGAAATAATACGTAGCACTTTATTTTGAAAAATTTGAATTTTATTGATGTGAGTGGTCGCGCATTTCCCCCAGACCGGACACGCATAAGTGAGAAGTGGACGTATAATTTGTTTAAATATAAGAAGAGAGCATTTTTTCTGTAATGGAGATTTTTTATTGAGAATAGGGTATAACATAGAAAGGCGCTGATATGCCTGTTGAAGTTTGGAAGAGATATGGGGCTGCCATGTTAGCCTTTTATCCAATGTCAAACCGAGGTATTTAACTGTCGAGCTCCATGGTATATTTACATTGTTAAATGTTAATTGTTCAGGGAAGTGGTAAGGACGAAGACTGAAAATAACTCCTGTGCTTTTTGACGCATTTATTTGAATACGCCATTTTTTACACCAATAAGATATTACATCAAGATGTGCTTGCAGATTTGTGGTTAATGCTTCAATGTTACGTGATTCGGTGAATATTGTAGTATCATCAGCGAAGAGGGCAATATTCGTACGAGGTGACTGGGGGATATCGTATACGTAGATGTTAAATAGTATGGGACCAAGCTTAGAGCCCTGAGGTACACCAGCAGATATAGGCATGAGGTCTGAGGTGTTATCATTTATTTTAACAGCGAACTGCCTGTTAAGTAAAAATGAATTAATAATATTGAATAAGTAAGATGGAGTACTAATGGATTTTAGTTTAAAAAGTAGGCCCTCGTGCCATACTTTATCAAATGCTTTGGAAATATCTATAAATACAGCTCCCGTATGACAATGTTTTTCAAATGCAGTATTAATGTGTTCAGTTATTCTAAGTAATTGTTGAACCGTAGAATGATTTGATCTAAACCCGAATTGGAATTTAGGTATAATATCTATGGCATTTAAGTAGAAAAGAAGTCTAGTGTGAATGATTTTTTCAAACAATTTTGAAATTGAAGATAAGAGGCTGATTGGCCTGTAGCTGTCAGGAATGGATTTGTCCTTTCCAGGTTTCTTTATTAGTATTATGTTTGCAACTTTCCATTTGGGCGGAAAGTGGCCAAGACGCAGTAAAGAGTTAAATAATGTGGTCATAAACGCTAGTCCTTTCGGTGGTAATTTTTTTAGCATAAGGTTTGTAATTTTGTCGTGACCCGGTGATTTTTTGATCGGGAGATTATTAATAATTTGTTTGATTTCATTTGGCGTTACGTAATTTATAGAATTTTGGACTTCATAATTTGGTAGTTCTAAGGTGTGTTTTACTCTTAGGTCATTGCTTGGATTACAGATATGGTTGGGAGAAAAGGTATTGTACAGCATGTTTGAAAAAACATCACATTTTTCTTGATCGGATATAACAAGTTTTGCATCAGTGCGAAGAGGGGGAATGGTGTTGGTAGCTTGGTTTAGTAGCCTTTTTGTTGCTTTCCACAAATTTGATTCACCCGGTCGCATGTTAGACAGGTAACTATTGTATGAGGCTACACGGTAATTTTGTAAAGCTGCTTGGACTTCTTTGGTGAGTAGGTTTAGTATTTTTTTATCTGCAGGGTTCCTATGGTTTTGCCAGGTGCGCCTGGCTAAATGTTTACGACGAATAAGTGAAGATATGGAGTGTGGTAGGATGCCAGGACTGTGTATATTTTGCGGTACGGAGTTAGAACAGGACTGAGCGGCTTCTATTATGACGCCCGTCAGATGATCAGCTGTTTGTTCTGCTATTTGAATGGTATTTACACATGTTGGTATTTTCAGATTAGATTGTACATGGTTAGAGAATCTAATCCAGTCTGGTTTTCCTTTAATTAATGAGTTATTTGTACAGCGAAAAAGAGATGGTGAGTTAATCGTTATTTTAACAGGTATGTGATCCGAGTCGAGTTCGATGAGAGGTTCGTGCACGCATACAAATGGGACAGATTTAATTATTAAAATTTCTAATATGTCGGGCAAACGGTTTAAATCTGTTGGGAAGTAGGTAGGTGTATTTGGAGCTGATATTGTAAAAGGTGTGTTTCCTATGAATGCTTGTAATTTAGAGCCATTTGGATTTGTAACACGGCATCCCCAGTTAATGTGTTTAGAATTTAAATCGCCCGCAATTATAACTGAGTTATCTAAGTTCATGATTATTTCATAGTCTGCGATAAGCATTTGGCGACAAGGAGGTTGATACGCACTGACGAACGTTATATACTTATTGTTTATGTTAATGGAAACTGCTACGGCTTCTAGGTACGACAGAACGGGCCAAAAGCCGTTCTCTTACAAATGATAAGGGGAAAAAAAAAATAATAATCTCATACCAACATTACCAACCGATAAAAATGTCAATGTTCAAAATAATAATTTAATATCAGTTTTAGGGCCAGCCTGTAGTAAATGTACTTTTTTATTAATGTATTAACTTAGATCATATACTAGAATACTAGTATATGATCTAAGTGTATTAATGTATCAATTGTATCATCTTTATTATCTATGGTATTAATGTACTTTTCTCTAACACCTGTTGATTAATCTAATGAGTAATTAGGATTAATTAATTAAAATTAAAATTCAACCGCCAAATTACAAAAAAATGGCGAAACAGAAATCCAATACTTATATCTATAATAATGACTAACGACCACGATTAAAGTTATCTTTAATCGTGCTAATAACTAATGAGATATTATTATAATTATTTGGGACTTGGGTTTATTTTTGAACTTATAAATAAACTATAGAGTATTTTTAAACGCATAAACAAGATTATTCCAATACAACAATAATAACTGAACATTGCATGAATGATGAATGTTTTGTGGCATTTCATACCAATTATGACACTAATTAACAGTTATAACATTTAAATAATATTATGTCTTGCAGTGGCGCCCAAGATATATTTTTCAGGTGTAGCAAGAAATAATTTTACCCACCCCCTCACGAACTCAAAATTATATTATTTTATTCATACATTTTATCATATTTTAATTGATAATATTAGTAAATATTGAGGTATCAATCAATATAATCTGTGATTAATAATGAACGTATTTCAAGTTAATTATTTTATGTTATTATACCTACCCACCCCTTATTTTCAAGGTATAGCGACCGCTACACCTAGTAATAGGGTTGGGCGCCACTGATGTCTTGCATTAAATAATATCTTTATAGAAAAATTATACAATATTGCAATTATTGCATTATTGTTACTTACTGCTTAGTAGTTAGTACTTTGTAATATTTTTATATGATCGAAACTTTAACAATAATAGAATTTATGATAATGTTGGTAATGTCTTTATGGTACATAATGGTACAGGGAATTTATGTTTTAGTATTGGTAAACATGATCCGATAAATTTTTTCTTTTTTTTTCCGAGTTCTTATCAGCTGTAAGAGAACGGCTACACACTCCGACAGAACGAGTGTAGGCAATTGTTGTTGTTTGATTTGGTTCCGTACTAGAATAGCCACTCCGCCCATGGCGCGAGATTGTGTAATACGATCAGCGCGGTAAATTTTGTAACCAGGGAATTTAATTTTATCTGTATGCGACAAATGCGTTTCAGTAATGCATGCGATATGTATGTTGTGATGATTAAGAAAAGCTAGTAATGTATTTCTTTGATTTTTAAGACCGTTAGCATTCCAGTTTAATAATATAGTATTATGGAGCTCCATTGGTGTTTAAGTTTAAGCTGTTAATGATGACTGGCAGGTTTTGTATTATTTTCTGCATTAATTGGGTAACAAATGTGTTAATTAGTGGTAAAAGAGTTTTCATAAAATCATTATCGTTATCTGTGGATTTGGCTGATTTGCCTCTATAATTATTGTTATTACTATTACTATTGCACGCGGAGGCATATGTGTAATGCATATTAGTGTTATCTTGGTTTGAATGTGTGTTTTGAGTATTTGCGTGAGGTATTGTGTTTGTGTGATTTTTTCCATGGGACGGATTTGTACTAGTTTTATTTTTATTTTTGGTTCTTGATATTTCTTTGTAAAAAGTGCACCCTCTATAATTAGCTGGGTGATCACTATTACAGTTAACACATTTTGGAGGAACGTCTGTTGGTTTCTGACATTGACTGTAGTGATGGTCACCCGCGCATTTGACACACCTTGATGGTAAATGGCAAAACTTTTTGGTGTGGGAAAATCTTTGACAATTTGTGCATTGTGGGATGTCCTTGGAGGGCTTACGTGGTTCAACTATAACTATACAATGTAGAAGTCTATTTAAAGAAAATATTTCAGTTGATGATTTTGATAATAAAACTGCTACGATTGGAATTGGCGATTTGAACTGGTTTTGAAGGCGTGTGACTGAAGCGACTTCAAATTTGAGTTCTTGAAGTTCATTGTAAATACAAGCTTCCGTTATGTTAACAGGTAGATTTCTAATGACTACCGAAAGTTGTTTATTTTCAGGAAGTTGATATGTGTGGTATTCAATTTCGGTCTCGTCGAAATGTTTAGTTGCGGTTCTATAGTCATCAATCGAGTTTAAGTTAATTTTTAGGGCAGATTTTGTGTTAACAATGGAGAAATTGTCAAATGTTATATTATCTAAAGAAGTATGAAAGTTTTCGTAATCGGAAATATTGTAAACATATATAGGTGGAATTTTAGGTCTGACCTGTGGTTGCTGAGTACTGTCGTTTTCTGTGGTATTGTTCGTTTCACCGGTGTCTTGTAGATTTAAAAGTGGAGAGAATCTATTTTTGCTATTGTGAGGAGGTGTAAGAGCGGCACTGCTAGTTCTTTTCTTTGAAGTGTCAGGAAGGTTGAGGTCTCGAGGTGAAGTATTTTTATTATTGGAATGCATTGAATTTAATTAAAAACACGCGCGATTACGGAGTAACGGAGTACTACGGACGACTTGACACTACGGCTACTGATAGCCAACTGATTAGCAATCACTAAACAAATAATACTTCAATCTTTTGAAACCCACTTGGAAACCGATATTATCTATAGGTACTGATGTATCTAATAAGGCGTTTGATAGTATAAACCAGAAATATTGTTTAATACATAACAATTGTTTCGGTTCTCTGATCCTCTACTTTTTTGGTTTCGCTCTTTTATCGTATCATAACCGTTTTAGATTCTGAGTGGAACCATGAATGTATTGATTTTACAATGATGTGTGTTTTTATATTTATTTTTTTTATTTTTGTGTCTGTGTACACGATAAGTAGTCAAAATAATGCTTTGATTTTCAACTTCAGTATCTTTTTCGATTCGAAAGTGAATATCGTTGGTGCATTGGGGAGGTCAAAATTTTAATTTCCCAATAGTTTTCACAAGCACCGGGAAAAACAACATAAAAATTAAGGAAAAACGGGAATTTTTACGGAAAATCTGTTTTCGAGAAATTCGATTTTGGTTTTTCATGCAACTCTTAAACAAATGACCGTAGGTACATGAAAATTTCACTGAATGTTTATATTAGAATTTCCTATACACCATACAATTTTGAAAATATTTTGACTCTTTTTGAGCTGTTGATGGATATTTTCATTTTTCAATTTTTTTAGTTTTTTTTTCTATGAATATCAATAAAGTTTTATCTGTTGGGCCAAAAAGTGTAAAAATTTAATACAAGGCTCCTGATATATTGTTACAATATCAGTTGAAAAATATTAAAAATACATAGGCACAATTTTTTTTTATAAGCATTTAAAGATCAAATTTTGGCAGAATTTTTCAAAATCTCGAAAATTATCAATCATCGTAATTAATCAATTATAAAATGTTCAGTTTTTATATCTAAGGATTGAACATTTAAAACAAGATTCCACGTAAGTAGTTAATTCTGTTACCAAAAAATCTAAAAAATACACCAGCACAGTTTATTTTTATGGTCATCTTAAGTTCAAATTTGGGACGAATTTACATATTAAAGAACCTAGCATACCTATTTTAGTTATTTTGTTGTGAGTGTATAATACTATTCGTGGGTACTTGAAACTTCTAAAGTACACTTTATTATATATCTATGATAGTATCAGGGTTTGTTATTGATGTATAATGTGTTATAACTTATAAGTACCTAATGGATATTGTGATAGATTAATTTGGAATTTATTATAGGTCAATTTTTTTTTTAATACCATATATATTTATATAATATATCTTGAACCTAGACTGACATACCGTCTTCGCTCAGAATCGTTTTTCTTATACAATGATATTGTATCATTGAATTCAAATTTAATACCATCCATTATACAGTGACCCACTTTTAACCTACTGTACAGCAGAGCGACATCCACTTACCCACCTTTTTTCATTTGTGCTATGTGATCTGAGGATAGTTCGCGATTCTCACTGCTTCTTAACCATTATTGCAGAATTTGACACAAGTTTTCTATCGTGGATTGAACTTAACCTAACCTAAGTTAGTATTAGGTCTATGGATTAAACACATGCTGCAGCCATCGTGCAACGCCACTGTTGTACAAATATCGTACTGAGAGTTAAAGTCTATGGGTTCAAGTGTTCAATTATTCTCGCGATAAGTCGATACCAATTTAAAAGGTCAACGAGCCAATAAATAAAGTAGGCAATTAAAGGACTCACTAAAGAATACACCTATATAATATATTTTTTTTTTTTAGCATCAACTACAAAGCTTATTGGCTTACATAAATATTTACATTTTTACATTGTATGACATGTAGTGCATTTATTTTCGATTTTTTAAAGATGAGAAGTTATGTTGAGGGGGGTTGAAAATGGTCTAATAAATTGCTTCATATAAATTGTCTAGAATGTTAAACTCATTTCTGGCTTCATTGAAGTTTGGGCAGTAGACAATGATGTGCTTGATGGAATTGTATGTGCAGCAGTGTGGATCGAGCATAAGGCTGGATCTATATTTTAAACGTGTGAATTCAGTGTGGGCCATACTTAGTCGATGGAGAATTACCTCTTATTTTTCTATTTAGATCTATGTATTTCAAAATATATGCACATTATATTGGGCAGATAATGTAGTTCATATATGGTAGCTCTGTGTTCTTCTACTACTTCTAATCCATGATCGCAGATATTGACACGTCAATAAGTCTTCCCAACGCGACCCATCCAATAGATCCAACACACACTGCAGCCATCGTACAATGTCGCTGTTGTACAATAATATCGCAATGAGAATTGAAGTATATGGGTTCAATTCCCGTAGTTAGTCGGGCAAAAAAATGGAAAAGATCTCGACTAGCCAATAAACAACGACGTAATTAATGGACGGACGGGAGTACACCTATATATTATATTATTATTATATTGGGCACACGATGTTCATAATGTGGTGCACCTACCCATACTCGTATTATATTATGTAGGTAGTATATATTATACAGGTATACCTACAATAAACACGACTATTATTTATTATTATTATATATATATATATATACAAATATTTGAGTTGCACCGGTGGTCTATAATAATATAATGCACTATATAATATTATTATAAATCGTATTAATGGGTATGTACACAGAACGTTTAACAAGGTATATTATGCCGTCGTTGCGTTATGCGCGGTATTTTTATTTTTTTGTACGCAAAAGTAATAAAAATTACGACGTTAAAACGAAAGTACCTATATGTGTGCGTACAATATAATAATAATAATAATAATAAAGCTATGTTTTTTAGCGATGTGGATTTCCAGTGTCTTACACGATCCGTGTAGGCAGGCGCCGGCCGTTATTTACAGCGTTGTCGTCGTGCCACGATCACCAGTTAGCTCCCCTATAATACCTCCATGTATTGAGACGTAGACTTCAAGTACATTAATATATATTTTATTTTATATTATAGTTGTACTTCTATATACCTCCTGTGTGTGGCTATATTATACATAGTACGTCATGCAGTTTAATAGATATTTTACGATTTGCAGATAGTTCGACATCTCCGATCGGATAATTATAACGGTTAACAAGTGCCAGCAACGTTTTCGAATAACATTTCGAAAATGTCTTAATACGACCTTCACGCTTACGCAATGGCGCCCACGTAGGGTACCAAGTGGTGAAATTTCACTGGTTTCTCGTGTGGGTCACAGGGTATACATACATTTGGGGGACCCACTCTGGTAGGTAACACCTAGAGCAAACACTATAAATGCATCACTGCAAACTATTCATCTGGATCTTTAGATTGTTAAATAAAACGTAAGAAGTTGGCACTTGGCAAGGCCAAACATGCAAACAAATATAAATAAAAAATAGGTTACTAATATAGATAACTATAATATTCTATATACCTAGTCTATATATGACTATAATAAGTGAATTGATCCAGTGGCGCGTGTTTAGGAATTTGTCTTGGGGAGGGTCTAGATCATTTTCAGAACACAGAGCCGCGGGGAGCTTATAAGCCGGTGTAAAATTGTTGAGTTTTAATCCTTTAAAACCTAATATATAAAAATCTCGTATCACGGTGTACTGTACAAACTCCTACGTAATGGCTCGACCGATTCGGATAAAATTGTTTTTGTACATTTGATATGTACGAGAATAGGTCGTAAAGTATTTTTCACCCTCCTACGCCCACCCGGGGAGTTGCTCAAACCGGGATTTTGAGATTTGTTTTGGCAATGTAAACACTATGCAAAATTACAATATGATAATGGCAATGAAAATGTATAAATTATAACAAAAAAAAATCACGATATCAATTAAATAAATTTCGACAATTGAAGCGATGAAAAGTTTTTTCAAATTCTTTCGTATCCTACTATCACATGATAAAATTTGTTTTTCTTAATCATGTAAAAACACAATATTTAACATGTACAAGACATGAGTCAATGGCAGGGGTCGGGATCCCATGGACCCCCCTATAAATACCCACTTAAATACATATACGGGATTTAAATTCAAACCTATATTAAATAAATGTGAGCCAGAAATTTGCATAATTGTTTAATTTATTCATTGTAACCAATAACCATGCATTTTGAAATGCATTTGGAAAAAAAATTATTTCAATCAAATGAATATGGATGTAGACCAAAATACATTTTGTTGCCCCATAATTTTAAGTTCATAGAAATCCTGTGGCCGCATCTGCGAGTACGTAATACATCTCGTTTTATGTAAATATGCAGTAAAAAACAGTTTTTTTTTCTTTAATAACGAACTTATTCAATTTCTGAGTTTTGAAATTTTCAAAATGTACTTGGACGAGTGAACTCAAAATTAACACTTACTTTTATACAGGACAACAAATATCATAAAGTGGTTTTGTGTGTGCAATTGGGTTTAGCTTCGTCCAAACAAGTGTATCAGTTGGACATTATAGACTAGGTATATAATATTATTTGTGTATGGGTAAAGCAGAGATGATGTGCAAGTCACTCGATTAGTTGTAACTAGTGGTTACAATTTTAAAAGCAGTCTTTTTAAGTTTTTGCATTTTTTATATTATTTATGAGGAGTGTCCAGCGATGATACAAACTTCTGGTTTTCAAATTAACCCCCCTCCCTTATTTTACTATAAAAAATTTAAGGAAAAAGTTTTAATGTACTTATTTCAAAACTTTAACGAGTTGTATCTCAGCTATTAAAATGTTTATACTGAACTTACAAATGGTTTTGAAAAAATATAAAATAGATATAATATATTGAATCTAGTAGGTATTTATCATACTTGGACAATTTTTACAAATTATTAATGTTGATAGAGAAATCACTAACCAGTAGCGTAGCTGGAGCCCAATTAAGGGGGGGGCGATTTAAAAAATGTAAAACACAACAAGATATTCTAATTCTCTCTTCACGAAAGAAATCAATTGTTATATATTTT